CCCAGCCAGCACCTGTCTCCTCCAGGAAGGCTTCTGGGTTACTGCCCCAGCCTCACCATTTCCCACCTCTACTTTGCAAACGGGACTTGCACACAGGCTCACACCACGCTCCTCTGCGCTGTGGGCACGTTTCTGAAGTATCCTGAGCCACCCCCTACTTACTTGGCCTTGAGAGCGTTGATGATGGAGTGCCTCTCATTCAGGGCTTCCTGAAGCTGTCCTACACGGGCTGCCGACGCCCTGTGGGCAGAGAGGAGGGTGCAGAGAGTAACCCAAACCCCAGAGCGCTCCCGTACCCCTCTGGCCTTGGTAGCTGCTGCTGTTCCTTAAGCATCTACGGTCGCCTGGGCACTGAGCCTCCAGCCACCACCTCGTGGCCTCACTTGTGGGCTCAGGTCGGTCCCACCTGAGTCTGAGCCAGGACCCGATCCCTGAAGCCTTGTCTTGCCCCTGCCCTGGGCCTGCTCACCTGCTGCTCTTGGCCATCTCTTCCCGCTGCTTATCAATGGTCTCCATCAAGTCCAGAAACTGGGGACAGAGACAGCCACAGCCCTGTCAGAGCACCTACAGCCTGTCCACGCGACCTTCTCGGGGGAAGGAGAGCCGGCACCCACCAACACAGCAAGGCAGCAAAGGGTTCCACCCACAGCGCCCTGTCTCCTTCACAGGAAGGGTGGTTCCTGCAGAGTGAGGCCTTGGGGCTCAGACACCAGCTCCCCAAGGAAGCCCACCTGCAGGAGATCAGACCAGGAGGCCGCCCCTCCTTCCTGGTACGAGCCACTCAGACAGGCTCTGCGGCCCCAAGGAAGGGAAGGTGGGCAGACCACGGGGCCGAAGGAGGCAGGACATGGCCAGGCCCTCCAGCCACGAGCAGCTTCAATGTCAGTGAAGGCGCCATTCTCACCTGTTTGGACTTCTCCTCCCGGAGGTGCTGGACCTCCTTGCTGAGGACGTGAGTGCGGGCTTGGTTCTCCTGGAAGGTGGTGAGCCGGTCCTGGCTGTGGCCCATGGCTTGCTCTGCAGAACGGGCTGTGTCAGCCGGGCGCAGGGGCTCATGCCTGGAATCTCAGCACTTCGAGAGGCCGAGGTGGGCGGATCACCTGAGGTCAGGGGTTTGAGACCAGCCTGGCCAACATGATGAAACCCTATCTCTACTAAAAATGCAAAAAATTAGCCGTGCATAGTATTGCAGACCTGTAATCCCAGCTACTCAGGAGGCTGAGGCAGGAGAATCGCTTGAACTTGGGAGGTGGAGGTTGCAGTGAGCCGAGATTGCGCCACTGTACTCCAGCCTGGGCGACAGAGCGAACTCAGTCTCTCTCTCACACACACACACACACACACACACACACACACACACACACACACACACATGGAGCTGTGTCACCCCGGAGCTGCTTAGCTTCACGGGTGGCTGGTGGCCACTAGCCCTGCACCCGGCGGCTGGCTGCTTGGGAATCTATGCCTTGTAGGGCAACATCTCTCCTGGCAAGTCAGGGGTGCCCCCTCAGTGCATGAGGGTGGAAGGTGCTTCGTGGGGTTGGGGCTGTGAGCAGGAGGCACCTGGTGTTGGGGGGCGCGGGCACACGTGGGGCAGAGGTGGTGGGGGCTGCTACACCACAAAAGGCAAGGGCCATCCTGGGGCATCTGGCCACCATCCCAAAGGTCAAGGGGCACCGCACAATGCTGAGGCGAACGCTGTGCCCAGCTCATGTTCTGGAAAGATCTGGGTGGCATGTAGCTAGGGGGCAGAGGTCAGGAGCGATGACAACACCCAGGGCAGCACTGAGGCAAAGCCAGGGACGGTGCAGCTGGAGCCAGAGGCCAGGCAGAGCCAGCAGAAGGGGTGAGCCCTCAGCACAGGGGCCGGAAGAGGCTGCCGCTGTGCGCGGATTAGGGAGTACGGGGCCTGGCAAAGTTCTCAGCTGGGTCTGGGGCACTGGGGCCTAAGGCTGAGACATCAGCTGCAAGGATTTGGGGTCGCTGGTGGGAGGGAATGTGGAGGCCAGCACAGGCCAGGTGGCCCCACCTCTCATGACTCACATGCAGGGCCACAAACTCAGGGTGACCAGGGAGCCTTCCTGGCCAAGGCCTGGGCCACCTGAAACATCAGCAAAGCCATCAAGGCCAGGGCTGTGAGCCACACGGCTTCAGCTTTCCCAGCTGTGAAATGGGTACGCTGCCACTGCACAGGTCGTAAGAACTCAGCAAGCACAGGGCGCCTCAGACAATGCCAATGCGTGGTCAACGCCAATCAAGTGCCAAACAGGTGCCCCACGACCCCTCTGCTCCTTCCCGCTTCCCCTGGGCGCTCAGGCTGCTCTCCTCATCAGTTCTAGTCCTGAGCCGAGCACCCCGACCTCAGCGGACAGGCCTCTGTCAAAGGCTGACGCAACGCTCCACACAGCCCCGCACCGTACCCACGGCTCTGAGGACATCCCCGGGGATGTTGTTCCCAGCCAGGTCCAGCCTCCACAGGGTTCTGTTGCTGGGGAGACAGTTCATGAGGGCCCGGCCCCCCAGGAGGCCAACGTTATTCCAGCGCAGGTCTGGAAGGAAACCTGTAGTCACCAGACAGAATGTACCTGGCAGAGGGGGAGCTGGCCTGGCCGGGGTGCTTCCCTGCGGGGCACTGCCTCGTGGTCAACAGAGCAGGAACGCAGGCAAGTCCCCTAGCCCCTTACTTCCAAGAGCAAAGGCAGCCTCAGAGGGATGAAGGAGCCTGAGGCGCCTGGGAGGCCTCACCCAGCTGCTGGAGGGTGGTGTTGCCCTTCAGGGCAAGGGCCAGCTCCTCAGCACCCTTGTGACTGATCTGGTTGTTGCGGAGGTCCAGCTGCTGCAGAGCGCCGTTGGCCGCCAGGCCCCCGCAGAAGGTGGCGAAGGCATCGTCCCACGTGCCCAGGCTGTTCCACTCCAGCGTGAGGCTGCAGGAGGGGCAGGAACCAGAGTTCGCCTAGGGGACAGCCTGGCCTGTGGGGTCCAGGGCTTAGGGACAGGTGTGAGCTTGGGGTCTGATGGGCCGGAGCCTCTGATGACTCCCTGCCAGCGTATGTGAAACACGGGCAACTGGCAGTGTGGAACTCGGGCTGCAGAACCATGTGCTCTGGGGCCAATCCTCAACCACAGAGACAGGGCCTGCGGTGATGGTGGGTCTGGACCACCCCCCACCTCTGAATGGACTTGTTCTGTTGGAGGAGTTTTCCCAGAGCCTCAGCCCCTGCGGCCCGAAGATTGTTGCCCTAGGAGAGAAACAGGCCGTCAGTCACTCCCTGACTGGCTCTGAATTCCCGCCCATGCCCCAAGGGCCTTGGTCAGCCAGGGGACAAGGCTGGGGTGCACTCTGCAGGGAGGTGCAGCCTCCCTCAGCTCCTGGGCTCCCTGCCTTCAGGGGGCTTCCAAGGGCCGGCTTGTTTGCTGACATGAACTCTTGCTCCGGAGATGGTCACACACAGGAGGCCATCAGAGAACAGCCTGGGGACTCACAGACAGTTTCCAGCCACCTGCCCAGACCCCCGGCCCCTGACACCTGGCATCTTCCCCCTCTCCTCTTGCCCGGGGTGGCACATTCGGACACTCAAGAGCGCAGGTCTCTCACCTTTAAGTCCAGAAAGCGCAGCACGGTGTTGGCACACAGGCCTCGGAGCAGCAGTGTGGCCCCTGTGTAAGGGGGGCCAGCGGTCACTCTCTGCCCCTGCTGACCCCAAGATCCTCCCTGTTGGCCCCTTTTCAGGGCAGCTCCCTAGACCCAGGGAGGGACAACTGTCCCGGTGGTCTGGGTTGGCGCTGGCCAAGAGTCTCGCTGTGAAGTCATGTTTGAAACACCTGCAGCCCCTGTCAGGCACCAAGCCGGCTCAGCACGCGGGGAACCAGCTAAGCGGGACATGCTAAGGTCTCCCCCCGTCCTACAGAGGAACTGTCCTCTACTCCCAGGTGCAGGAAGGGGCGCCCCTGCTCGCTTTAACTACGGCACAGAAAGAGGAGAGCCTGGAGAGGAAGCGACCTCTGGGGCTGCCGAGGCAACAGTGTGGGCAGCTAAGGAGCAGAGGGATCCACCCCGCCGCGCCTGCCCACCTTCCTCGCTGAGCATGCAGTCACTCAGGACCAGCTCCGTGCACAGCATCTCCCTCGGCAGCAGCTTGCCCAGGGCCCTGCAGGTCTCCACCGTCAGGCTCTGCGTGGCCAGGTCCAGCCGGCCCCTGGGAAGCTGGTGCAGCTGCTGCAGGACAGCCTCCTGGGGCTCGGCCCCACTCTCCCTGCACAGGCGGCTGTAGGAGCGCCGGAACTCCTCCATGACCCGCGGGGCCGGCAGGGCCTCCTCCGCATGCTCCCGCAGCTGCTTGAAGGGAGCCGCCCGGTGCGGAGCAGTCCCAGCGCCGGGTACGGGAGACGGGGCCTCCGCCCACCCAGACGAATCCGAGCGGGCTCCGCGGGCGGGAGGTCCTGGAGCGCGGGGGCTGGGCGGTAGTCAAGGTCCGCTTTGGGCTGGGGCCCCGCAGTGCTTGGGGACTACCCGTGCAGGAAGCAGGCAGGCGCGTCGCGCGACCCCTCCAGGCCCTGCCGCGCCCGCAGCCCCGACCCCCGCCCTCGCAACTGCCGCGTCTGGGCCTCAGTATCCAGGAAGAACAAGGCGCGCCGGGAGAGGCCGCGGGAACTACAACTCCCAGCAGGCTCTGCGCAGGCAGCCCTCGGTGCGGGCCAATGAAAACAAAGGAACTGGCGCGCCCCTTCGGGCCGCAGGCTGAAAGGGGGCAGCGCGCTCCAGGTTCATTGGCTAGAGGCATGAGGGTGGGGCCCCGAAGGGGCACGCTCCGGGCTCATTGGCTGATGGGTGTGAGGGTGGTGCCCCGGAAGGGCGCGCTCCTGGTTTATTGGCTGAGGGACGTGAGGGCGGGGCTGATGGAGGGCCCGCTCCGGCCTCATTGGCTGAGACATTGGGGCGGGGCTCCGAGAGAAGGCGCTCCGGGCTCATTGGCTAGGGGAGCGGGGCGGGGCTCCGAGGGCGCGCTCTGCTCTCATTGGCTGGAGGGGCGGGGTTCCGGAGGGCACGCTTTGATGCTGCGATCATGGAGGGAGCCGGAGCTGGAGCCGGCTTCCGGAAGGTGAGGGCCGGCAGGCAGGGGCCAGGCAGGTGTGGACGCTCCGTCCGACCCCACGCGTGACACCGTGAGGGCCAGACGCCAGCCCCCGCGCCGCCCACCTGTGTCTTTGAGGTTGGGCCCGTTCTCAGACTCCGACCCCAGCCCGGCCGCGCGCCCCGCGCCCTCCTGGGCGGGGTCTCGCAGCTAGTAGGAGGGCGCGTGGGGCAGCCGGGGCTGCGGGAAAGTGGAGAGGGTCTGCAGAAACAGGCAGGGGTGGGCGCCGTCATGGCGGAGTCCAAGCCGGCGAAGAGAGAGGACGAGCTGGGCCGCCGCCCTGCGCCCTGAGCCTGGGGTCTCCTGTTAAGGGGAGATCAGGCCCCAGGACAGGGACAGTGAGACTATCCAGCCCGAGGAGCCGGCAGGACCTACCCTAGCCGCCAGGCACAGTGGTTTCCCTTTTGCCTGCTCCCCTAGTGGGCACCAGCACTGGGCTAGGAACACGTGGTTTCCTCGGTACTCCACGTTACTCACACTTGACACGGATTAACCCCACCCGCGAGTGGGGAAACTGAGGCACGGGGGCGTTAAGTGACTCAGCAGAGCTAGGGTCAGACCCAGGCCGTCTGAGCCAGGATCCGCCCAGGCTGCAAGGCGTGCCCCGCCCTTCCCTGCCCCTGGCAAGTGGAGCTCTCACAGGGTGCCATGTGCAGAGTCCATGTGCGGGGTCCCATCGGTGCAGGCAGAGTGGTTTCTGAACCTTTCTTTCTTTTGCTCTACCTGAAGGTTGGGGCACTGAGCTTCCTCAATGTCAGCAGGGCCTCGCGGGCCTCTGTGGCCTGGGAAGGGAGAGTCTCAGGCCCTTGTGAACCCATCCTGGGGGGAGGACTTCAGGGAAGTCCTGTAGAAGCAGGGAGAATTATTTGTTTCTCCTGCAGCGGGCCCTTCTTTATCACCCAAGACAGCAGGGGGTCAGCGTGGGGCACTCTGGTGGAGTTGCTGCAGATTCTCGCCAGAACTCAGAGAAAGTCACTGGGGCCTGGGCCACCTCACTGGGTGGTTGGGAGAATGCACCAGGTTAGAGCAGCTGAAAGGCCACTGCTGGAGGGGGCACTGGGGACACACCCCAGGAGGCCATGTGTTCTCTCCATCAAGTTAGAGTAACGAAAGGCCACTGCTGGAGGGGGCACTGGGGACATTTGTACACCCCGGGAGGCCATGTGTTCTCTCCATCAAGTTAGAGTAGCTGAGCCACTGCTGGGAGAGGCACTGGGGACACCCAGGGCACTGGGGACACACCCCAGGAGGCCATGTGTTCTCTCCATCAAGCTCACCTGACAACTAGAGGCCCGAGGGCTCTGGCCAGAGCTGGAGTTGTGGTCATTGCAGAGGATGAGTGTGAAGATGACCGGGAGCAGGGGGCCTGCAGCCCCGGTGTGGCACCCACAGGTCATGGGGCAAAGCTGGGTGTGTCCCAGGCCCTCCCACAACCGCCCCAGTGCTGGGCCTGCCTTCCGAGGCCGCTGCCGGTGTACGGAGCAGCCCCTTGGATTGTCAAGGCAGCCCCGGCATCCGCCACTCTCTGGCGTGGGGTCCCGGAGCAGGTGGGAAGGTAGTGCCTTCTGGACGTTTTCCAGTGCCTTTCCGGTATTGCTGGCTGTAAGCAGCAGGAAGGACCAGCAGGTGGCGCTGAGCTCATGCGGGTGGTGACTGGGACCCTGGCTAGGGGACAGCGAGGGCTCAGGATGAGCCGGCATGCTGGACCCTGCTGTCCCCTGCTGGGGAACATTTCACCTCCCGCGTCTCAGGGCTTCACCCATCCATGCTCTGCTTGTCACCTGCTGGACTGCTCTGGGTGAGGTGCTGTGACCTCCCTGTGGCCGACGCTGGCGGCCTGGCCGGTTGTTCACAGGTTAGTGCCTGTTTCTGGGCTCCTGGGTGCCCACTGCCCCTGCCCCCAGCCCTGGACGCTCCATGCTGGCTCCTTTCCCAGCCACTGTGGGCCAGTGCCTGGCCTGGGCCGCCTCACTGAGTCGTGGCTCCACCAGCCACCCAGGGCTGCCCTTCTGAGTCTCGGCCACCACCACTGCTGCTGCCACCTGCCACTCTGTGGATAGCTCTTGTGTTCACACACAATGCATCCCAAACTGGGCTCCTGCGTCCTGGCTCCAAAATACACATGCCCGCAGCCCCCCATCTCCTCAGAGCAGTGCTGTCCTTTTGGGGTCTCAGTGTGGTCTCCTCCCTTGTCCCTGTCCTCCGTCCATCAGGAAGGCAGAAAGGCCCTGGCTCTGCAGCCCCCTCCCTTCTCCCGACCCTGGGCTTGGCAGCCAGAGTGGTCCTTTCAAATGCCAGTGCTGCTTTCCACAAAAAACCAGAAAGGGCTCCCAGTTGCCTGCCACGGAGACTGATCAGGCCCTGGGCCCTCAGCGTCTGGCCCACCCCGCACCCCAGCCTGCGGACCATGCTGGCACAGCCTAGCTCTGTACCCCCAGGACACCAGCACCTCCTGCAGGATCATGAGCACCAGGGCAGGACCGGTGGAGCTGACCCAGCACCCAGAACAGAGTTGGCACAAGCAAGGCCTTACGGGTGGCACTCCCTCAGTCCAGCCCACCTGGGAGCAGCCACCTCCAGCCTCCAGACCCAACTCGGGCTCTGCCTTCCCTGCCTCTCCACAAGGAGAGCAGAACCATGGCCCTCTGCCGGGGATGGCAGTGCAAGATCAGGCCAGACTCAACAAGGCCTTTCTCCACTCTCCCTGGAGCCCCAGCAGCGGGGCCTGCTCCCGTGTCTACGACCACTCACGCTGTAGGGAGGCTCCTTGCACAGACCTTGCGAAGAGTCCTGGCGCCCCAAGTGGAGCTGCCCACACATCCTGCTTCTCCAGCTTCTGCCACCCTAACCACTAGGCTGGCCTTCGTCCCCTGCCCTGGGAGAGGCCCAAGCACAGAGGGCGTCTCCAGCCGGAAATCACAGCCACCGTCACCCAGAATGATCACCACCCCGGGGGTGCGGGGGGAGGGTGGGGCCTGGCGCTGACACCCCCTCCCTTCCAGGAGCTGGTGAGCAGGCTGCTGCACCTGCACTTTAAGGATGACAAGACCAAAGGTACAGGCAGGGGTGTGGGCGGGAGGTGGGTCCCCGTACTTGTCCTCAGAGACCCTTTCCCGCAACTCTGCAGGGCCAAGGCCTGGGGTGGGCGGGGGTAGGTCTGGAGCCCCCAGCCAGAGCCGGTGTGTGAGGGTCCCACATGACCTCCCCTGCCTTGCAGTGAGCGGGGACGCGCTGCAGCTCATGGCGGAGTTGCTGAAGATCTTTGTTGTGGGTGAGTCCAGGGCCCACGCTCCTTCTGGGCACCGCGTCCAGGATTCCTTTTGTGTTTTCACAGCGGGAAAACCAAGACGTGTTTTCCCCAGTTTCCCACAAGGTCCTAAACTTGGGTCTCCTGAGCCTGTTTGTCAGGTGCTGTGGCCTGGTTCTGGGGGCTGCCCGTGGGTGTGGGTGGGGGCACCGGCCCAGGCTGAGGCCCTCGCTGGGCTCAGGTTTAAGATCCCCCACCTTGGCCGGGCGCAGTGGCGCAAGCCTGTAATCCCAGCACTTTGGGAGGCCGAGACGGGCAGATCACGAGGTCAGGAGATCGAGACCATCCTGGCTAACACAGCGAAACCCTGTCTCTACTAAAAAATACAAAAAACTAGCTGGGCGAGGTGGCGGGCGCCTGTAGTCCGAGCTACACGGGAGGCTGAGGCAGGAGAATGGCGTAAACCTGGGAGGCGGAGCTTGCAGTGAGCTGAGATCCGGCCACTGCACTCCAGCCCAGGCGACAGAGCAAGACTCCGTCTCCAAAAAAAAAAAAAAAAAGATCCCCCACCTCGCATTTCTCACCGCAGAAGCAGCAGTCCGCGCAGTGCGGCAGGCCCAGGCAGAAGACACGCTCTGTGTGGATGTGGACCAGCTGGAGAAGGTGCTCCCGCAGCTGGTGGGTGAGCGTGGGTCGCGGCGCCAGTGGAGGTGCCCAGCTGGCTGGCCCTAAGCACTTCTCTCCCCCACAGCTCCTGGACTTCTAGGGATCTCAGCCGTGGCTGAGGCCACCCCCAGAGGAGCCCCTGGTCCACAGAAACAGGCCTTGTGTTTCCAGCGGCCTCTGATAACAGGCGGGGAAGGACCTGAGGGGTTGAGTTGATTCAAACAAGATCCCCAGGTGTCTCCAGCCTGTGCAGAAGGGGCAGGACTGCAGTGCATTGCTGCCCTCGGAGTGTCCAGTGGGGACACTGGTGTAGGAAGGGGCAGCACTTGGGGAGTCCCTGCCTCTCCTCCCTGGGGCAGCAGTGTGCGTACCACCCAGGTCCTACAGGCAGGTGCTGGGAAAGGCCTGGCCAGCAGGTAGCCTGTGTGTTTGACAAACGGCGGCTGGCAGCGCCGCCTCCTGCCCACATTGCCTGCCACCCGACATCAAAGCTGGCGTGTGACCTTTCCAGCCATGCGATATTCCCCTTGGAAGATGCTTCCCCCGGCTATAAATTTGTTCTCACAAAGCAACATCAATAAATCAAAACTGTCTCTCCCAGCTTGGCCTTCTTGCCATTAATCACCAAACTGCTTCAAAGCCTCGCTCCCCGTGTGCGCCCTTCCACTCCTGGTAAGAAAGCAAAGCACCAGGACGACGCACTAACAAACAGCATGTGTGCGAGTGACTCGGCCCCGCCCCCAGGCGCTGCGGAACCCGGACTTCGTACATGTGGCCACCCGCCTGGAAAATGTTACTCCTGCCCCAGGGGTTGGGGCAGCCACGGGGGCTGCCACCAGTGGGCAGTGGCTTCCAGGAATGTTCCTGTGGCCACAGGCAGTGGCCACAGGCAGGACCCAGACGCACAGGGTGAGAGAGACTCTGGTCCAAGGGCCTGCTGAAATGAAGAACAGGCCTCCCCTTTTCTCCGACACCGGTCCCAAGCAGTGCCATGAGGGTGCAACTCAGCCCCCTCAGGCCATGCCCTCTGCCCACCCGTGGAGACACAGGGCTGTGGGACCTGCCTGGATGCCCCACCCAAGTCTGGCTGCCCTCTGACTCTCAGGGGCCTCTGGCATAATAAGCTCCACTTGTGCCAACGCTTGGGAAGTGGGCAGAGCCTTGGCCACTTCCCCTCCAGCCCACCTCACTTTCTCTCTCGTCAGAGCCCAGGACTGGAAACACCCCAGGGGCTCTCAGCTGAGCACCATCCCGGTGCCCCACGCAGGAAGGGGAAGGGGTAGGGAGTCAGGGTGGGAAGCACAAGAGCTGCCCCATGGGACCCATCAGAGGCAGCCCAGCCTCTCTCCTGCCCTGGTGCCCAAAGACAACTTTGAGGCAAGCCTCTTCATCCTTGATTGAGCCCCACTGGCCCCGGGAAGGCAGGGCTGCTGAGACCCACCCCTTCCCCACTCTGCCCACCTCAGTAGGTCAGTTTGAAAGCCCTGGGAGCCTGGGGAAGTCATCAGACTTGCTGGGGAGTCTGGCTGTGGGGTGGGCCAGGGCCAGAACGCAGCACTATAGCCGCTCAGGGTCAGTGGGAGGCCCAAGGTCAGGCCCTGCCCTGCAGATATGGGGGGACCTACTAACTCCTCCCCCAGCTCTCGGCCCGGGGCTTGGCTCCTGGGTTGCAGGTAATTTCCCCAAAAAAGCCTTTCTTCCAGCACTTCTGTTCTCCTTGGAGGAGGGATAAATAATTATTAGGTAAAATGAAGAGGAGACCCACGTGGGTTCAGGATGTACACCACGGTCCACAATGCTCCTCAAGGGCCCACACCACGGTCCACCAGGCTCTCAGGCCTGGACACTGCGGTCCAGCTGAGCCAGGGCAGAGGACGGCAGCCCTTTTCTGGAGGAAGCACGACAGGAATGCGTTGAGGGTTGCACAAGTCTTTATTCCTACTGGCAGGGGAGGTGGTCCTGTGGGTGGCAGAGTGGGCACCTTGGGCTGGTGGCTCTCACCTCTTGCTGGCTGTAGTGCAAACACACCAGGGTGACCACAGGCCCTGGGCTCCTGCCGCCCGGCCACCCGCCTACCAGCCCAGCTGAAGCACTCGGCCCTGCCGGCCACAGCACCTAGCCCTTCAGCCCAATGGCCCTGCCACAGCACCCGTCCCCCCACCCTCCACCCGGCCACAGCACCCTGCCTTCCACCGGGCTGCAGTACCTGGAAGCTTCAGCCACTTGGGCACCTTGCCCAGGCTCCTCTTCACAGGCTGGGCTGTCCCTGGGATGGGCTCGGGGGGACCCAGTGCCCCCTCCTCAGCAGTTGGTTCAGACTCAGGTGCAGGGTCAGGGGCTGGCAATGGGGAAGGGGACCCGGCGACCCTGGACATGCACCTAGGGGAGGTGAAGATGCAGGGTGGTGAGTGCCGCCATGGGAGGTGCCCCCAGACCCACAGGCACTTACCTGGCCACCAGCATGTCGGCTGCAGATGGGGAGATGGCGTGCTCCAGCAGGCCAGGCTCCAGGTAGACACCTGCAGGGAGGCCCAAGCTCACCCTGAGCCTCTGAGGGGGGGCCCACCCGCCATCCGCCCAGCATCTGCCCAGCATCTGCCCATCGGCACTCGGCTCTGGGAGGGCAGTGGCCAGCAGGTGGCTGTCCCAGCCCTCTCTCGGGGAGGTGGTTATTGGGGGCCGCAGAGCTCCCTCTCAGACCCAAAGGAGGCCCCAGACTGAACGCCCTTCCAGGCAGCTGGCTCTGAGGTCCAGAGACAGGCTGGCCTGGCTCCAACACCGGCCCCAACCACCGACACTCACCTGCCGGCTCCTTGGCTCCGAAGTGTACCAGAGCGGCCGGGAAGAGGTTTGCCTGCAGGGAGGGCGGGGGGCTTAGGGGCCGGGTGGGCACCGTGGGCAGAGCACCCCCCTGCGGTGGAGGCAGCCACACCCCCAGGGCCCGGCCCTGCTGATGGCCACAGCTCCACCATCAGGCGGGCTCTGCCTGCCCAGCCCCCATGAACCCCTCTTCGCCCAGCTTCCTGTCTGGCACCAACCCTACCCCTGTACGCAAGGCCAGGGCGCCCTGGGACCGGCGCCCTCCATGGGACCACCCCAAGCCCCAAGCCAGCTGAAGGCTGCGGCCTCGAGGGTCCTCAAGCCACGCAGCATCACAGTCCTCCCTCCTCTGGCGTCTGCACCTGAGGAAGGTGGGGCCAGGCGTGGCGGGTCCCGGGGTCCTGGCGTATGTGCCGGGACCACCGTGGAGAGGCGCAGCTGCCAGGGTGGGTATCCCCCTCCCAGCTCCAGATTCCCCCTCCCGGCTCCAGGCTGCTCGGGGCCACAGGCTGGGGGTGGGAGTGGGCCTGGGGGATGTTAAAAGATTAATAAGAGGAAGCTTCAAAGGCCAGGCCCAGGAACGCTGAAACCTCAGCCTCCAGCCAGGGGCCCAGGGACACAAACAAGGGCCATGAATGCTTTGAAAACCCAATTGTGCCGCCTGGGATCAAAGCCTTGTGAGGAGAGAAGGGCCTGTGGGGTGGGCAGGGGCTGCCCGAGTGGCCCTGAAGAGGCGCCGGAAGCTGGGGAGCCAGGAAGGGAGCACGGGGAGGACAGCGCCAGGAGCCGCCGTGGTCTCGGCCTCTCACAGGCAGACGGCATGCTCCATCACCACGGGGCCTCCAAGATTCACACCCAGGCTGCAACTGCTCACAGAAGCCCAGGGGACACTGCCCAGAGGCCGCTGTGGGCACAGGAGGCCTGGCCAGCCCCACCTGCAGCCCACCTGCAAGGGGCAAGAGGGCTCCCTCAGAAGCCACCGATGCAGAGAGGCACCTGGTGTTCATCACAGCCGCACAGGCCAGGACCCTCACCCGGCACTGCCCCGTGGGATGCACAAAAAGGGGCAGGCAGGACTCGGGAACGCCAGCGGAGGGAAGTAGGCTTGGTGGCCGGGCCTGGGGCACCCCGGCTCTGTCTGCGCCTCTGTGCAGGGAGCACTGAGCCAGGCAGCCTACCCAGCTGTCCCCACGCACTCGTGCCCAGCCTTGACTCAGGAGGGATCCCACTGCTCGGACGAGGGGATGGTGGAGAGGAGGGTCAGCAGACTGGGCGGCATGAAGGCTGACCAGGGCTTGGAGAGGCTCGGCCTCTGGATGGACTCCAAAAAAGGAGCCTCCCAGAGTCCATGTCACCTCCATCCCCCACCAGTGGAAAGGGTGTTCTCAGTAAGCGACCCAGGGTGAATGGAACCACCCGGTCACCAAGCTGGGGCTAGAAAAGGAAGGTGGGTCACACCATCCCCCCAGCCACCCAGAGCAGGGCCCAGGATGGGCCTTGGAGGGAGGCTCAGGCTGAGGGGCCTTTCCCCCACCAGCACTGTCCCAGGAGGTCTCAGGCTGCCCCTGCCTGGCTCCTTCGGCTGACAGGGAGAAGTGGGGGCGCCCGCCCTGCCCTGACACAGCCTGAGGGCCTGGAGCCGGCCCCTCCCTCGCTGCTGCCCAGGACACTGGGGTTCCAAGTCCGGCCACCTCTCTGCTGCCAGCCCCTTACCCCACTCAGTGTTGCCAGGAAGAGTTTCCGAAAGGAGGCCCACGCCGACCCCCATGGGGCAGCAACTCTGCATGCACACGTGGCCCAGTGCCCTGGTTGCCCCCTCCAAAGAGAACAGCACCACCCTCGGGGATACGAAGCCAAGAGAGGAGCCCTTACAGCCCAAGATGCCCAGAAAGGAGGTGGCACCATGGTGCCTGGGCAGGGAGATGGCACCACAATGCCCAGGAGGGAGGCAGCATGGGACCTGGGAGGCAGGCGGCACCACGGTGCCCAGGAGAGACGGGGCATCCACCACAGAGCAGGAGCGGGGACTGCAGGAGCCATCCCACCTTCTGCAAGACCATTTGTCAACGAGGAACATTTCAGAGGGTCCAGGTGGGGTAGGGCCTGGTGGGTGGGAGGAAGGGGGCCTGTCATTCCCAGAGGGGCCCTGGCAGTGGGCAACACAGCAGTACAGGACAGGGCTGTCCTGGGTGGAAAGGAAGGACAGACCTGGCTAGGGGAGGGCGCCCAGCAGGCACTCAGGCCGGAAGTGCCAGTCACTCCCTCCCAGGTGGGTGGCCAGTGTCCTGGCAGAGGGTCCCCCGAGGCAGCCTGAGAGCTCCAACAAACAGAGGGTGTTAGGAGCCAGGCTCGCCCCACCAAAGCCAATGGAAGGAAGCCCAAACAGCAGAAACTCTGAAGAGATAAGTGAGGTGACCGTGACATCAAAGGTGGGCCTAGTCCAGGATGACCTTCCTTATGACATGAGGACACGGACCACACACAGAGGTGACCGTGCCAGCCCTGACGCCCAGGGCCAGGAAGCAGGTTTCAGGCAGCGGTCGGGGCTTTGTTCCCCACAGTGGTGCCCCCACGCTGCTCACACTTCCCTGTCCTCAATCCCAGCCGCCTCCTCCCAGCCCTCCCAGAAAACCTGCGCTCTCCTGGGCCAGGGTCACAGAGGCCTGCCGGGCTACCCGAGCCCCCACACCCACGCACGCTGTCCCTCTCAGAAGCAGGGCGCTGGCCCCCGGACACCCCCCAGGCAGCAGGCAGCCGGAACAGGGCCCTGCCAGAGACAGACATGAAAGCCGGTGCTTCCACGCCCGCCGCCTGCTTGCCTGCCAGGGAGACAGGCTTCCCCCTCTCAGCCCCACCAGCTCTCTGACGGCAGGCAGGCAGGAACGTCACCAGGTCCCCACCCCGAGAGGCCCCCAGACTAGAGCCGAGCTGATGGAGGGCAGGGGATGGTGGCTGGCGGGGAAGCCATGTATCCCCAGGAACAGGGCAGCAGCACCCCAGTGCTCTTAGGGGGCCTCCCAGTGGGAGGGTGGGCTGCAGGCCTGGGCACTGGTCCTCCTCCACCCCAAGGCATCTTCCAAATTCAATGTTTATCAACTGGCTGGCCAGCAAGGGAGGGGGTGGAGACGGAGGAAGGAGGCCCAGAGTCCGCCCGGCAGCTCGGGGGCTGAGAGGCAACTGTCTCACCCCTCCCCTGCCTCCGTCTCAGGGAATCCCGCTCAGTCCTGCTCCTATCACCCCTGGCAGCTGCCAGCCTTCTTGCCCCATCTCAGCAAGTGGCTGCAGCCCCAGGCAGCAAGCAAGCTTCTCACCTCCAACCCAGGCCTCTGCAGAGGTCTGTGGCCACTTAAAAAAAAAAAAAAAAGCCTCTGTTGCTAATTAAAATATCTGAAGAGGCTTTGAAGAGGAAACCATTAGGCCAGAGGGCTTCGGAAGGCCCCAGGCAGCTCTCCCACAGGCCAAGGACAGGACATTCATTGCTTCTGGCTCTGGAGGGCGGCCCAGCAGGGCTGGGGACCGGGCACCCTCACTCTGGCCCCACCCTCAAGAGCTCTCAGGGAGGTGGCAGGGACCCACAGAAGCAGCGGACAGCTATGGGTACCAGGGCATTCCTAGCAGGGGCCAGCGGGGCCAGCGGGAGAGGCCGGGAAGGGGGAAGGGGCAGGAACACAGACTTGGCAGCTGAAGCCCCAGGCGGCCATCTCCAGCTGAGGGCCTGGTCCCTCTGGGGCTCCCCAAGCCCTGCTCTCAGGCCTGCCGGGTCCTTCCTCACCCAGACGCCTGGGCGGGGACTGGTGCTGCCTTGGCCCCAGCACAGCAGCCCAGGGGGGCCGAGACCTCCGAGCGGCCTCAGTTCAGGCAGGCCGCCTAGCAGGCCCTTTCTCACCCAGGGCCAGGCAGGAAGCAGAGGAGGCTGGAAAGACCTGTCAGAAACAACTTCAGAGGCGCACGGCCCCCTCTGAACCCACCCGCTCTCAAAGGCTTTATTATCCTACACCAGCGCCTGCCAAGCCACTCCTTCCTGACTGCGGGCCTCACCCTCTCGTCCTGCCCTCCCTGGAGGGCCCCGCCCCGCAGCACCCCAGGGAGGCCTTCGGGTACCTGAAAGAGGGTCCGCGTGTGGTCGTCCAGGACTGTTTTTGGAGGGGTGATGACTGAGGAGAGAAGGCATCTATGTGTTAGGAAGCACTGCGGTCCCCATCCACGCTCCCAAAAGAAGACAGGCCTGAAGATGGGGGTGACACCTCACATGGGGCAGAAGAGCCCCTCATGATCACGCCCTGTGCCCGTACTCCGGCTGCAGAAACCCCAGCTGGGGGCTCGGAGGGACCAGGGTGGGGCAGGCCCAGCTGCAGGGGTCACCACCCACGCAGCCCAGCTCCCCTTGGGGGGCACCCTAACCCTTTGCCACCTAGCCACTCCAAGGGAGGCCAGCCGCTTCCTGTCCACCGACCCTTCCCACAGTCCTCGGGCTGGAGTGGCCTGAGCCCCAGGGGAGGGGGAGCCCCAGGGCTCCAGAGGGGAGCGGAGCGCTGAGACAGAAGGCAGGAAACCTGGCTCCCACCCTCCCACCGCCCGGCTCAGGGAGAAGGGCCCTGCCACGTCCCCACACAGACACCATGGGCTGCAGGAGGCAGCTGGGTGGGAGGCCACAGGTGCTGCTCCCGTGGAGAAGCTGCCGTGAGCCTTAGCTGGGACGGGCGGTGTGCCCACAGCACCAGGGTCTTGAGCACTGGAGGCAGGAGTGGGCTCAGGAGAAAAAACTTACACAGGTAAAACGACAGCTCGGGGTTCCCCAGGTGGCTCCTCACGAAGTCTCGCAAGTCCCCCACTGCAGAGGAGAAAGAGAACATACAGACAGCTCTTCCTCCACACCAGCCCCGGGCTGCCCCGGGCACTGGGCCACTGCTCCCACCCTCCTGGGCCTTTCCCCAAGGGGTAGGAATTCAGCCCTGTTCCTCCCACAGCACCCCAGGTGCTCGACGTGGCTGGGCCCCCGTGCGGGCCACACTTGGGACCCCCGCCCTGCTGCAGGAGGGCGCTCCCGCTGCCAGCCCGTACCCCCCAGCCCCCCCCCGCCCCAGTCTCAGTGCTTCCCTGGGGGAGGTCCCTGCGACCTTGGGCTGCTGCCACCTAGCTGTCTGGGGTACAGGTCACAAGCCCCTGAATGTCACAGTACCACTGCCCTCCTCCCGGGGTATGGTGCCTTCCTCTGAGTGCCCCTCTGCCCCAGCCGTGCCCAGGAGGTGGGTGACGTGAGCACTCAGGACCACAGGCTCACCTGGAGCGAGTGCCCAGCCTGCCTGACATTGCAAACTGGGTCGCCTCTGCACCCCCAAGGGGACCTCAGCACCTGCACCTGCCCAGTGCTCTGGGGCCCACAGGCCAGGTGGCTGCAGTCCTGTGGCCTGGAAGGAAAGAGCCAGGAGGGGCTCTGTGGGCCCCCGCCCCCCCTCCCCGGACACCCGGCAGCGCTGCCCACCTGTCTCGCTGGGGCGGAAGAAGCCCTGTAGGACGTAGCGGTCGGGGAACAGAACCCTCAGAGCCACCTAGGCCAGACAAGTGGAGGGGTTGGAGGGACGGCCGGAGCTGCACCAGGGACCAGGGCACAGCCTCCCTGCTCAGCCCACGCCAGGCCACGGACACCAGGGCTGGGGCAGGCAGAAGCAGCAGCCACCCCCAATCAGGGCCCGGGCCTCGACTCCCCCATGGTAGGCCGGGCACGGAGACAGCCAAGTACCGTGCGTGTGCACGGTGGCCTGAGTTCTAAAACTACTTTGACCTGTGTTCAAATTTGCTGTTTAAAGTTTCATTCGGCCGGGCGTGGTGGCTCACACCTGTAATCCCGGAACTTTGGGAGGTCGAGGCAGGCGGATCACCTGAGGTTAGGAGTTCAAGAACAGCCTGGCCAACATAGTGAAACCCCATCTCTACTTAAAAAACATCCAGGCCGGGCGCGGTGGCTCACGCCTGTAATCCCAGCACTTTGGGAGGCTGAGACGGGCGGATCACGAGGTCAGGAGATCGAGACCATCCTGGCTAACACGGTGAAACCCTATCTCTACTAAGAAATACAAAAAAACTAGCCGGGCGAGGTGGCGGACGCCTGTAGTCCCAGCTACTTGGGAGGCTGAGGCAGGAGAATGGCATAAACCCAGGAGGCGGAGCTTGCAGTGAGCTGAGATCCAGCCACTGTACTCCAGCCTGGGCGACACAGCGAGACTCCATCTCAAAAAAAAAAAAAAAATCCAAAAATTAGCCGAGCTAGTGGTAGTGGGCACCTGAAATCTCAGCTGCTCAGGAAGCTGAGGTAGGAGAACCGCTTGAACCAGGAGGCGGAGGCTGTGGTGAGGCGAGATCGCACCACCACACTCCAGCCTGGGCAACAGCAAAGCTCCATGTCAAAAAAAAAGTTAGGCCAGGCACTGTGGCTCACACCTGTAATCCCAGCACTTTGGGAGGCCGAGGCGGGCAGATCACGAGGTCAGGAGATTGAGACCATCCTGGCTAACACAGTGAAACCCTGTCTCTACTAAAAAATACAAAAACAAAATTAGCTGGGTGTGAGTGGCGGGCGCCTGTAGTTCCAGCTACTGGGGAGGCTGAGGCAGGAGAACGGCGTGAACCCAGGAGGCGGAGCTTGCAGTAAGCTAAGATCGTGCCACTGACTCCAGCCTGGGCGACAGAGAGAAACTCCGTCTCAAAAAAAAAAAAAAGTTTCATTCTAAATCATGAGCAGGGGAGGATCGACTGGCCACTAGAGGCAGGCATGCCACCACGGCGGGGGGAGGGGGGGTCCTGCTCAGAGCTGTGCCTCCGCTGCCCCCACATCCCACCCGCAGACCTCAGGGGGGCCCTGCTCAGAGTTGTGCCTCAGTTGCCCCCACGTCCCGTCCACAGAACTGACAGGGGGCCCCCTCAGAGCTGTGCCTCTGCTGCCCCCACGTCCCGTCTGCAGACCTTTGGGTAGCGCTCCAGCTTCTCCTTTATCTGCGCCTCCCTGAAGGCCTTGGTCACCAAGGGTGCTTCTTCCAGGCGCTTCCTGTGGTTAGGAGGGGAAGGGAACAGGGCTTCTGGTCAGAAAGGGGGGTCTTCACCTGCACCCGCCAGGGTGGAAGTGGGCTGCTCTCCCCACACAAGGCAGGAAGATCTGAACACCCCTCCCTAGGCCCCAACCCTCTGAGGTGCTCTTAAGGGCAGCCTGTCAGGGACCTGGGCCACGAGCCAGTGCTGGCACCTGGGGACGGCAGGCAGCACAGGCACCCGATGGGGCAAACCCTGACTCGAAGAAGCCGGGAGGCACTGAGGGAGCACCCACCGCTCACTCTTGAGCTGGGCCAAGCGCCTTCTCACGTCATCCACCGTCAGCTCAAAGAAATCATCAGGCAGCTCCGCTGGCCAGGCCTGCAGCCGCTCCTCCAGGTCAGGGTGGCACACCACAGGCTCCCGGTCCACGGGCTCCAGGTCCACGGGCTAGAAGCAGAGGGCGTGGCTGATGGCGGGTGTCACGGGGGGCCCTCCACACCCCGGGCTGTCGGCGCCCCCAGCCGAGGTGGGCACACAGACTTGGGAGCTGGGCCCACTCTCTCCCTGGCCCCGGCCAGCACAGTGCCAGGGCCAGGTCCTGGGGGCAGGGCTGGGCACAGCAGCTAGGGGCCCCCACCCCACTCACGGCCTGTCCAGGGCTGGAGACCCCCCTTCTCCCAGTCAGCGCACCAGACCTGACGCTGAGCCCCTGCTCTCCACCCATCAGGGTGCATGGTCCCTGAAGTCTGGCTCAGGCCACGTCAGGGTCTCTGCGGGGGGCAGGGGTGGTGACAGCCGCCAAATTAGAGCGTTGGCAAAAACCCCAGCCCAGCCTTTTGGCCACAGCTCCATGGCCAGGCTGACTCCATGCACGCCTGCCCCCAGGGAACAAGTCGGCCCTTCCTTCTGCCCACCCTGGGATGCGGGAGGGACACTGTCACCCCTAATTGGCATCAACAGCAATGAAATGGACAAAGCTGGGCCATGCAGCTCCCGGAGCCCTGGGCAGTGATTTCGGTGCATTCGGCCCAGTGTTGGAATGGGTGGGACACCACACTCGGCCCCGTCCCCCTCACACAGAACAGCCGAGAGCCGTCGGGAGTGCGGGTGGCCTGGAGCTGGCTCTGGGCTCCCACCCCTACCTCCAACTCTCAACACCTGGGGATGGCTTGGCAGGCCCTGGGAACAACCCTCCTGGTCTGGTCCTATCTCCCCTGCAGTCTCCCACGCAGCCACGGGCTGCTGCCTCCTGCCCTGCACGGCATTCCAGCGCTCCCACCATGCCCACACTGGGTGACAGCCAGAGTGCGCCTGCCAGAGGTACACCTGTCCCAGGTGTCTCCAGGGCTGCCCTCCAGGCAGACACATAAGACCTTGACTGCCGTGGGCGACAGGGCCCTGCAGCCACCCAGCACGTGGCTCTGTCATGACTTGTCACGGGAGTCTGGCAGAAGCCCCACTGGCTTTGGCAGTGTCGTGGCAGGGCAGCCAGCAAGGGCTGACCATGGCCCAGCAGTGGGGCCACAGGTGGCTGACCAAGGTCCCTGGGGGTTGCCCTTCCAAAGCCACAACCATCCTGCAGCCACTGACAGCAGCCTGTGCCAGAGCTTTTTATAACAAGATGCCAGGCGCCAGGCGGCCCCCCACAGCCCCAGTGCCTGCATTCCAAAGGGCCGCGAGCACGCCTGGGTTCCCAGGGGAGAGGAGGGCAGGATGCGGTGCACCCTGGGCCAGGAGCCACCATGTCCATGAGCGGCCAGGCCAGCCTGTGGCAGGTCGGCATCCTCTGCAGCCTGGTCCAGAGCCTCCCTGGAGGAGCCCCCCCGGAAGCCGCGCTGTCTCCCCGAGCGGGCAGAGCACCCCGATGGGGACACACCGAGCCTGACCACCAGACGGGGCCCTGTCCCCAGGACACGATGTGCTCAGACGGCCACATCCAGGGCACAGCCTGGGAGTCACCGGGGGAAACGTGGGCTGCTGGCATGTCTGCATACTGGACAGCGCCAAGGATCCCCAGGCCCACAGCCCACACCAGGGTGCCTCCAGGATGGGGGCCATAGGGGACAGGGCCATCAGCGTCAAGTGGCTAGGGGGCTGTTGAATTTCACTTGGAAAACAAAACTGATGAAATCTCTAATTCCTGTGGATCCTCCCTAGTTTCCTACTCATCATCCCAAGGGCCCGGCTCTGGAAGCTTCCGTCTGTCAGACGGACGCAGGGCCCCACACGGGGCTCGGGCAGCAGGGGAGAGCGGCCTCTACGGAAACCTCCCACGCCCACCCTTCACCTGGGCAGAGAAGCCCCAATCGGAAGCAGCCTCACTGCAGCCTGGGGTCAGGCTGGATGAGCGGCTACCACAAGGGCCCAGGCCACCTAACTCCCCAGAGAACAGACGGCGTCTGCAGCAGGGCTGCTGGGAAATGGCACTTGGCCGCCAAAGACAGAGGGAGATGCCAGGGGACCCTGTGTGTGGAGAAACTTCAAACACCCATCAGCTTAGCCCCGAGCCTTCCCCCGGAGAGAGGCTCTCCATCCACAGAGAAGAGGCGCCAGGGAGCGGGAGCCGCAGTGGCGGGGCGTGGGGTCTCAGGGCTGTCCTGGCCATACCCGGCCCTGCTGACTGGCGAGCTCTGCCCGGCAGCCTGGCCCGCATCTTCGGCATCAGCGCTGCTCCCCGCGCCAGGTGGATTCACTGAGATGTCTTTGGACGGAGGACAGAGGTTGGTGGATGAGACATCGTCAGGGAAAAAAGCGACAGCGACAGCCCTGCAGGGGAGTCAAGCCCTGGTTCCTGCGGGGGCTCCATCGGCCGGAGCCCAGCCTCCTTGCTGGCGCCCAGAGAAAAGAAAGGGGCTGCCTCTGCAGGCCAAAAATGACGTCAACCCGGCGTGAGGCGTCCTGGAGCCTCCAACACAGGGAGGAAGAGCAGGAGGCGAGGAGAGAGACAAGCACCCTCCTTTCTCTTTCCCCTCAATTTCTTATTTTGAAATATTTCATTCCACAGAAAGATTGCCAGACACAAAGTGAACACCCCTCACGCAGATATGATCGTCCGGCTGCATTTTCCTTCCTTCCGCTCTGCGGCAAACGCGCACGCACACACGTGCACACGCAGACATGTACATACACACACCTGCATGCACCCAAGCACACGTGCACATCTCCACACACGTGGCACACACAGGATGGTACATGCCACACACACCTGCATGCACTCCAAGCACACGCAGACACACAGACGTACATACACACACCTGTACACCAAGCACACGTGGCACACAGAGACGTGCACATACACACACCTGCATGCACCTGCCACATTGCACACGCAGATGCTGAGGCACACCTGCATGCACCTGTAAGCACACGTGCACACGCAGACATGCATACACACACCTGCATGCACCTGGCATGGCACACGAGACATGTACACACACCTGCATGCACTCCAAGACACGTGCACACGAGGAGATGTACATACACACCTGCATGTTCCGTACACACGTGCACACGCAGACATGCATATACACACACCTGCATGCACCCAAGCACACGTGCACACGCAGACATGTACATACACACACCTGCATGTACCTACATACAAATAATGCGATATGTATATATATACACACTTGAATGCACTCAAGTGGCACGTGCATAATGCGACATGTGTGGCATACACTGCATGCATCTAGCACATGTGCATAACGAGACATGTACATATACACACTGTACACCAAGCACAATGCACACGCAGACATGTGCTATAGACACACTGCATGTACCAAGGAGGACAACACGCAGGACATGTTGCACATGACACACCTGCATGCACTGGCACACGGCACACGCAGACATGTGATACACCAGGCTGCACTCCAAGCACACGGCACACGCAGACATGTACATACACACACCTGCATGCACCCAAGCACACGTGCACACACAAGGACACGCACACACACGCAGACATGTGTGCACACACACCCACAGACGTGCACACGTAAGGACACGCACACACACACACAGACATGTGTGAGCACCCACACCCAAGCACACACGTGCACACACAAAGACACGCAGACACATACACCCAAGCACACATGCACACGCAAGAACACACACACCCAAGCACACACATGCACACAAAAGAAAACCACAGACTGCCCCCCAGGAACACAGCAGCATCTGCTGAGAAGAGGACCCTGGTCCCAGCTGCCAGCGTCACACCCCAACGCCCACCACATGGGGGAGGTGGCACTCACACATCCATGCTGGAAATGTCCCTGCTGTCCCCAAGTACCCGGGCAGTTTTCCCACACGCACCATCATGCTGGAGCTGGAGCTGTGCCTCAGTCACTCCCCACGTCCCAGCAGGGGCTGTGTCAGCACGACACCTCCATCCACCATGGTCTGGCCCCCAATTCCCTGTGCTGAGTGAGGTTCAGGTTGAAGGTTTCAGGGAGGAGACAACTGGATGTCGTACCACTGTCCCTACGAACGTCCTCACCTGGAAAGCTCCGGAGGGGAGGGCGGGCCAGCGGGGAATGAGGCCCAAACCTCAGCAGAGTGCGGGGGGCCCCAACCTGGGTCTCAGCCTTGGTGGGGTCCCCCAGGTGTGTGACCAGCAGATGACCCTGGGGGCCTTGCCAAGCCTCAGGAAGCCGCTGGGGTCGGTCTCAGCCAATAGGGTGGCCGAGAGCCAGGACAGAGCCTTCCAGAAGCCTGCGTGGGGCTTCCTGTCTCAGATGAGGCCTCTCACAAGACCTGCCGACCCACAGGGCACAAGGCGCGGCAGCGGGACGAACTGAACCACTGGGCAGCAAGAGCCGGGGGACCACTGCCCTGCAGGCCTCCAAGCCCAAACCCCAGGGTCCAGCTGATACCCACTTCATGCGGCCTCATGTTTCCGCCATCCCGGCGCCCCCACCCCACCTCTGAGCAGAGGCCGTGTTCTGCTCTGCCCAGCTGGCCAGGCCTGCCCCTGAAGAACCAGCAATATTTCCGGAGCACTCGGCACCCTCAGGCCTCCTGCCTGCCAAAGCCCTTGCCAGTTCGCACGCTGCCTGCTCTGGCAGAGGCGAGAGCCCCGCGGCTGCTGGGGCATCCAAATGGCCGCTGACCCTCACCCAGCCGCAGACGGCCTCCCCTGAGCCGATGCAAAGAGGCCCAGACCCCCGGCCCCAGGCGGCAGGTCGCAGGTCCGTGGGAGCAGCTGGGCTCTTCCAGACAGGTTCAGGAGACGGAACCTGGAACCTTCTCTGCGCTGCTGACATGCAGAGACGCCAGTGCCTCCACCAGGAGCTTGGCATGCTGAGCCCGGCCTGGTTTCCGCCTCGGCATCCGGGCCCAGCTCCCGAAGGCCCCACACCCCCTTCTTCCCGGCGCTGCCCCTCTTGCTAGGCAGAGCCAGAGAGGTCTCAGAGGACGGGGACGATGCCAGAGAC